ATGGCTGTCAAAATATATAATGACAGCCGCTCAACGAAGTAAGCATAGTGAGATAACCAATCAGCATCACGGAAAAACGGTAACAAATAATTTCAAGAAATGCGCGTATCGACTTAACATACCTTTTTTTAGATAGGATTGTCCGATATAGGATTGGCTATTTCTGGAAAAAAAACGAGATAGCATATATACGACATGTCCATTTGTGCAGAAATAATTCACGTCGCCGTTATGAAGCAAATGCAATTTCCCAGAAATGGCAGCGAATTATTCTTCGTGCGGAACTATAAGTCTCTCTATAAAAGGATACTCTTCTTCATGCGGCGCCACAATAAGCCGACGACGTTCGTTATGTATCATGTTGAAGGATACAATGAACAATCGCAAACACGACAGTGAAACTGTCGTCGAAGAACCTTGATGCAATACATATGTATAGTACGCATTATTTCGAACATAACGTAAAAATCTTTTAGTAGCCCGATCAAACTGATTAGTAGATTTCAATACCATTAAATCAGAACACTCATATTAAAACTCTTTCTGCGATATTCTGCGTACTTAACAAGATAGTTGTGACGTAAATGAAACTGCAAAACTGCAAAGTTATAAAATAAAGTCGATTTGAAGCGATGAAAATCTCAGAATCCAATTTCAATACATCAGTATCATATATTCATGAAATGGTTTCCACAGGATGTAACGCGTATAAATAAGCGTAAATAAATATTTGGTTCAGTCAAGAAGACAGGTCAATAATACATTTCATATATTAAGCCACGTTTGCTCTCAACCGAGAACTGGCAGTTGGAAATAGATTCCGTATTCAAAAAAAAGTATACCTTGCGTCGTATATTTTCTTTAAGAAAGCTGCTTCTTACATCAGTATTATTTACTACCGTCCTACGTATTAGAGTGGAATCGTGGAGCCAATAAAGTGATTTAAATCACTTTATTGGCTTAACATATATCTTAAGCCTGGGTTTCTAAGTTTCATCAGCTGTTGCAACTTTCTTGTTATATAGGGTTTGTTGTTACCCCGAGATTTCAATTATTGGAAACGTAATAATGAATAAACAACCAAATCACGTAAATTAGAAAACATGAGTTATTATAATAAGAGTTATTAAACTGAAATAATTCTCAGAGCAGGATAATACACGATTGTAACAAACGTTATTAAAAAACGGATTCTGCGACTTGGAGATCAACGCAACCACGATGCGCGACCTTGCGATACTCGTTGCGTGAAATTTATTTATAGAAATTTGGGTGTGGAATCTACTCGGATGACACTCCGGGGAAATACGCATACTTGAACCTGGAAGCAACCAAGCGTTGCCATGCGCTCTGTAATAAAAGGATATATGCCTCACGTCTCAAATTTCAATCTTCAATCATCTGCACTTACTAGCATTAACGCAAAGAAAAATTCTTTTTAAATGTATACTATGTCGCAACTTTCTTTATCTCAAATCTGTAATTACTAATTAGCAAAATTAAAATATGTTCGATAACACAAATGAAATAGAATGTTTTCAATTAATTCGTACATAGTAGCAAATATGAAAATGACAATATACAAAGTAAAACGTCATACTTTTGTACTATCGGCATGCCATTTTATAGTTTCAAAGATCTATATTCTTTACGTATTGTAAAGTAAGTTAGCCTTATTTTTTACATTTAAATTTAAAAGCAGTTCTGAAATGAACGATACAATTCAATTAATTTAATAACAAAAAACACAAGCAAGTAAATTGTATTAATAGGAATAGTAGAGAGATAGGGGAGAGTGGGCATGAAAGAGTCATGTTTTGAAAGAGCCATTTTCTATTCCAACTAACTGAATGTAGCTAAAAATTTTTAAATATTTTTATTTAGTATAAGTGACACTGAAACTACATCATCTATAGGCATTTGACAGTAAACGCCAAATCAGCTTTTATAGTGAGCGGTGAAAGATTTTTACGACAAAAAGTAAACTTGTGAGGTAAATTTCTATGTCTTTTAAATTTATTTACGATCAGTAGCTTTTAGAAAAAGTATCTTTTTAATCAGATGCTATATACATTAACTAAATAACATAGTTACCAATTCTTTTATTTGTTTTAGTTTATTAAATATTTTGTGGTTAGATTATTAAGGCGATGCTGGAAGGTCGAAAAAATTTGCACGAGGTCCATAAAACAGACTCTTCGGTGTCAGTGGTATCTCTAAATGAATTTCCTACAATATCTTTTGTCTCACTCAAACACGTGCAATGTCCTTATCTAACTTATTGAAGTGCCATCTGTTGCAAAATCCAGCACTTACTGCTAGACGCAATTTTTGCTGTCTTTGCCTTAGTTATAAGCGTGCAAATTATCATAAATTGCAGTTGGAACGATAAACCTTTTTCTACGCTTTCAATTGTAGCTCAAAAGGTCTTGTATTATTTGTTCCTGTAATCCGAAGGGGGCGAGCTACTTATTTTGTACATATGAGCTACAGAACTTTTTATACT